TAAGTAAAGGATCTGGATACTTCGTCCACCGCTTTCAGCCAACCATCAGATTAAATGAAGCTGAGCTGTAAAACATGCTAAATTCATTCATCATAATGTTTCACTTTCACTTCATAGGTGCATCTTTTCTTCCTGATATTCAATTTTTAAGACACTTTAGCAGGGATTTAATTCCAACATATTCAGTCAGGATCAACAGGTCTTAATGTCAGGAAGTGACTTCTCTTGTGGAAAGTGTTGGTTTAAAGACTTAAAACTCGTCATCCCTCCCTGGTCTGAAAGGGTCTATCAGAGACGAGACTCCCCTGAACCTGAACCCAGCTGTGTGTCCCTCAGCAGTGCCCAGTCCAAGTCTCATCCTCTTCTGTTTAAAGGTGGATCCCCTGCTCCTGAACAGAGGTGAGCCGCTGTAATATTCACTTTTTAACAGGCGCTCCAGTTGAAAGTACTAATACAACACAGTAACACACTCTCATTCAAAACCTTGGCTTCCTTCAGTAAAAGTATGTGAGTATTATCAGCAACATGTACTGACAGTATGACAGTAAAAGTACTCAAATGTTCCTGTCAGTGTTTCTCTGTTATATCTGATGTTCTGGATTAATATTCCTATTATATTAATATTTTACTGCTGCAGATGTTTGAGCTCATTTTAACTCCTTTATATCCTGTTGGGTAGTTTAAACTTCAGCAATGCATCATGGTCTATAAGATCATCACATATTTCCAGTGAGAACCACGTATCTCTACACAGTCAGAAAAACAGCTTTTCAGCTTTCTGATGATGTTTTTCCAGCAGATCCAAGGGGGGTTTAAATAGTTTAGTAGTTAAACACGTCCCTGGTCAGAGCTGTGCAGCATAATAACATTTCAGATTCTGCAGAGCCACATCTCTCCTCTTTGAACCTTCAGATCTTATTGTTGCACTGCACTAACCGTCACACCGGAAGCTCTACTGGCAAAGATTGAAATAAATTCAGAATTTGGTGCAGAATTATTAACATGAACGTGTTCATGTTAATAATTTTGACTCTCAAACTGAAGCCTAATTTTAGATGCAGTTTGTTCTTAACAGTGCTAATATGTGGAAGTACTCAACCAAGTTCCTCGGCAGCTTCCTAGCAGGATGTTATTGGTCTTCTTCTTACTTGAGTGTGACGACGAGCTCCAAACTTTAAAGAAACTTTGGCGAGTTGATTCTGATTTATGGCTGCTAGTTTCTCCAGCAAGTTCTCAGTATAGAGACTACAAAGTTAATTTCCCTCCCTGGTGCTCTTATTCTCTGTCTAACAGAATTTATCAGAGAATAGACTTACCTGAACCTGGATCTGAACCCGGATCTGAACCCGGATGTGGATTTGAATGCAGCTGTGTGTCCTTGAGGAGTGACCAGTCAAAGGCTGTACCTCTAATGTTTAAAGATAGACTCCCCTCTCTTGAATTGAGGTATGCTGTTTAATTATTTATGCAGAATATTTCCCTCTCTAACATAAAGACATATGCAAATATTACATTTTTAAAAAGTGTACATTTATAAAAACAAGTCTACAAGTGTAAATTACAGAAGACTGCACAGAAATGCAGACTGTTCCACTGATTCACAGCGGAATCCGTACGATCAGCCCTTTAATGTCAGGGGAAACCATCAGATTCAATATTTTAATCAACACGTTAACTGAAACGACCTTTACCTTGTGTCTGTCTCTGTGTGGACAGACATAATGTGAGCTAACTCTTCATGATTCCTCCACAGAGTCCACCAGGAGAGCTCAGAGGTTCCCAGTGGTCAGTCTGCCCAGCAGCATCAAACACACCTGGACTCCATATTTATGGTCTGTACATGTACAACAACTACTTTCCATCTATTCTGTTCACAATAATCTCCACGCTGCACTTTTTAGACCAGTGGATTGTCAGTCTGTCCAACATGGATCTGATGTTTGGTTCCATGATTTGACTTTGATTGTGTCCTTCATATAATATTCTGTTCCAGCTGCTGGAGGAGAACATTGTCACTTTTGTGAAGAACGAGCTGAAGAGGATCCAGAAAACCTTAAATTCAGATTACCCAGAATGCTTAGAGAGTCAGAGGGAGGATGAGGAGGTGTTGGACGGTGAGGAGGAAGAGCAGAGGAGGAGCAGCAGAGAGGCATTTCTGAAGATCACACTGCACTTCCTGAGGAGAATGAAGCAGGAGGAGCTGGCTGAGCGTCTGCAGAGCAGTAAGAGGATTTCTCTAAAGATTTAACCTGCTGGATAAACTGGAGAGGTTTATATTTAAAAATTCCTGTTTACCTTCTGCGTTTGTTTTGTTTTGTCTCTTAATTTCCGGTTGCTATTAGAGAGATAGTCTTTATTGTCCACAGGGGAAATCTGCCTTCGGTCTGTCCACGGCCTCACAAACAGCAACAACAAGTTTCATTTAAGAATACTATAGCAGTAAGCACAAATCTTCTACTGTACTGGTTCAGTTTCCAGGCAAGATGCCTGTATCTACGTCCTGGTGGAAGCAGTGTGAAGGAGGGGTAGAGGGTCTGTGCTTTGCTTTTTGTGGATTTACTCTTAAGGTCTGATAGGTTGGGGGTGGAAAGGCCAATTATTTTTGATGGAGTGTGAATGACTCGGATAGGTTCTATTCTATTTGTGGTGGCAGTTAACATAATCAGTAAACGTGGAACAGTAGAGTAGAATGGGTTGGAGTTTGCTCTTGCACAGTTGGTGACAGGGGGCGACAGAGAGTGCTTTGAGTTTGCGGATGGCAGAAAGTCTCTGATGAAAGCCTTTCTGGATGTCAGTGGTGGGTTGGTCAAAGGTAGTTGTTGGTACACCATTGTGTGAGGTGGGGGATGGAGTCTTGGTAGGCTGAGGGAGAGTTATTGTAATTTAGGAGTGCAAGTACGGCAGTGTCATTGGAGTATTTGAAGTATGTGGTGACAGGTGAGGGAGGTACGCCGTCATTGGTGCAGAGGGTGAACAGGAAGGGTGAGCTGGTTTTAATGGTGATGGTTGAAGATTTTGCCCTAACTAGCCCAACTGATTGTGGCCTGTTACAGGAAGCTGTGAATCCAGTGGATGAGGGGCGGGGGGACGTGGAGGTGGTGGAGTTTCCCGATCACCTGATGGTGCTGGATTGTCTTAAATGCAGAACTGAAGTCTATGAGAAGGAGTCTGGCATAATTACCGGGTATTTCCAGGTGTGGCAGGGATGGAGAGAGTACAGGAGGCATACCACCGCATCCTCAGTACCCCTATTAGCTTTGTAACTGATATGGGTCCAGTTGTGGTCTGACGGCTGGGAGGAGGGTTTTTTGCATGAGTGCTTTTGTGTGTCTGAGCAGTTAACTCTGTGAGACCTTGAGTAAATTATGTTCATGTCCTCAGCAAATGATGTGGGATTGGTTATTGCAGCCAACTTGGATTTTAGTTCTTGTCCTGTGAGTGTTTTATTTTTTGAAATGTTTGGGTATCTTTTAGCATTTATGATTGGAATGGCTGTGTCGATGCAGATCAAGATGAGGACTGTTATAAGAGAGACCTTTTCCTCCAGGTCACCCCCAAAATATTCCAGTCTGTGTAGTGCTGAACATCCAAACATGTCCGACGCTGTAGGTCTCAGGCTTGTGACGTTTGAGTACCTGCTTGTAGTGCAGAAGCAGGAAGATCATGTTGTAGTCTGCAAAACCAAGTGGTGAGCCGGTGAGCTCGAGATGTAAGTGAACATAATAGTGCAGAGTGTTCCCCTTCCTCTTCAGAATGTCCACAAGCCATAGGCACCGGAGCCTCAGGATACGTTGCTGCAAATTCCATCAATGCTAGCAACTAGTTGGGCTGCAGCCTTGGTGTTGGTGCTGGGTGGGATATAACACAGCTGTGTGAAATTCTCTTGAAAGGTGAAACACAGATGGTGTCAACATCTCCATATTCTGCATACAGATCTGGCCATGGATTTTGATGTTCTTACACCATCTGTTATTGATGTACATGCAGACACCTCCATCCCGCTCTCTTCCCGACTCCTGCGTTCGGTCTGCCCTGAAGATGGTGAAGTTATCGAGGTGTACCTTGCTGTCAGGGACAGCCTGGTATATACATCTCCCTTCTTACCTCTTTTCCTTTGTCGGATTTCTCCTGGGATGGCTCCTGGTGGTTTGATCTTACAGAGCATGGAGGACCAGAGCACAATTCACAATACATTGGTATTAAAATACTGGAATAATTCACAATTAATGGATTGCTGCAACACTTGTATTGTGAATTGTCCCCTATTACATAGGTTGTTGCTTGACTACTGATAATTTCTTCCCACCGATCTTCTGCAGGACAGGCGCCATATTATGCTTGCGCACATGGTAATAGTTGGTCTGAAGGATGCTACTTCCACTTGTGCAACGGTCCTCCTTGTTAACAAAGCCTGGTCAGAATATCTGACTCCACCCACAAAGTCTTGAACAAACTTGCGTCTTGCATCTGTCGATGTCTGCACTTCTGAAAGTTTGTTGAAGTGATGAGCGCAAAGCAGGAAGTAGCGTGAAATTGTCAAAACCCAGCTAGAAGACAGATCTCCGACAAACCAAATATTTATAACAATACACCTTACTTAATTTCTATTTGGGATGGGGGGGGGGGGTTCATGTGGAGAGTACACTCAAAGATCTTACTTGTACTTTCAGAATCTCCTGTCATGTGCCAGTTTAACCTCAAATCCAACCTGAAGAAGAAGTTCCAGTGTGTGTTTGAGGGGATTGTTAAAGCAGGAAACCGAACCCTTCTGAACCAGATCTACACAGAGCTCTACATCACAGAGGGAGGGACTGCAGAGGTCAATGATGAACATGAGGTCAGACAGATTGAAACAGCATCCAGGAAACCAGCCAGACCAGAAACAACCATCAGACAAGAAGACATCTTTAAAGGCTCACCTGGAAGAGATGAACCAATCAGAACAGTGATGACAAAGGGAGTGGCTGGCATTGGGAAAACAGTCTTAACACAGAAGTTCACTCTGGACTGGGCTGAAGACAAAGCCAACAAGGACATACAGTTCACATTTCCATTCACTTTCAGAGAGCTGAATGTGCTGAAAGAGAAAAAGTACAGCTTGGTGGAACTTGTTCATCACTTCTTTCCTGAAACCAAAGAAGCAGGAATCTGCAGGTTTGAAGAGTTCCAGGTTGTGTTCATCTTTGACGGTCTGGATGAGTGTCGACTTCCTCTGGACTTCCACAACAATGAGGTCCTGACTGATGTTACAGAGTCCACCTCAGTGGATGTGCTGCTGACAAACCTCATCAGGGGGAACCTGCTTCCCTCTGCTCGCCTCTGGATAACCACACGACCTGCAGCAGCCAATCAGATCCCTCCTGAGTGTGTTGACATGGCAACAGAGGTCAGAGGGTTCAATGACGTACAGAAGGAGGAGTACTTCTGGAAGAGGTTCACAAATGAGAAGCTAGCCAGCAGAATCATCTCCCACATCAAGACATCACGAAGCCTCCACATCATGTGCCACATCCCAGTCTTCTGCTGGATCACTGCTACAGTTCTGGAGGAGGTGTTGAAGACCAGAGAGGGAGGAGAGCTGCCCAAGACCCTGACTGAGATGTACATCCATTTCCTGGTGGTTCAGTCCAAACTGAAGAACATCAAGTATGATGGAGGAGCTGAGACAGATCCACACTGGAGTCCAGAGAGCAGGATGATGATTGAGTCTCTGGGAAAACTGGCTTTTGAGGAGCTGCAGAAAGGCAACCTGATCTTCTATGAATCAGACCTGACAGAGTGTGGCATCGATATCAGAGCAGCCTCAGTGTACTCAGGAGTGTTCACACAGATCTTTAAAGAGGAGAGAGGGCTGTACCAGGACAAGGTGTTCTGCTTCGTCCATCTGAGCGTTCAGGAGTTTCTGGCTGCTCTTCATGTCCATCTGACCTTCATCAACTCTGGTGTCAACCTGCTGGCAGAAGAACAAACACAGTTCTACCAGAGTGCTGTGGACCAGGCCTTACAGAGTCCAAATGGACACCTGGACTTGTTCCTTCGCTTCCTCCTGGGATTTTCACTGCAGACCAATCAGACTCTCCTACGAGGTCTGCTGACACAGACAGGAAGTAGCTCACAGACTAATGAGGAAACAGTCCAGTACATAAAGAAGAAGATTGAAGAGAACCCTTGTCCAGAAAGAAGCATCAATTTGTTCCACTGTTTGAATGAGCTGAAAGACCATTCTCTAGTGGAGGAGATCCAACAGTACTTAAGATCTGGTAGCCTCGCCACAGATCAACTCTCTCCGGCTCAGTGGTCAGCTCTGGTCTTCATCTTACTGTCTTCAGAAAAAGATCTGGACGTGTTTGACCTGAAGAAATATTCTGCTTCAGAGGAGGCTCTTCTGAGGCTGCTGCCAGTGGTCAAAGCCTCCAAGAAAGCTCTGTAAGTTTTGTTCATTTCAGATCGTGTTAAATGTGCTGTTAATGATTCAAATGTAAAAAAATCTCTTCTGCTCATTATTCCCTCTCCAGACTGAGTGGCTGTAACCTCTCAGAGAGAAGCTGTGAAGCTCTGTCCTCAGTTCTCAGCTCCCAGTCCTCTAGTCTGAGAGAGCTGGACCTGAGTAACAACAACCTGCAGGATTCAGGAGTGAAGCTGCTGTCCGCTGGACTTGAGAGTCCACACTGTACACTGGAAACTCTCAGGTCAGATCAGTTCTCTGTCTTCCCTGTATTGTTTTGAATTGGTTTTATTTATCTCAAGAGGTCGCAGTCACACAATTTAACTGCTGCAGAGATCTGGCATAAACTAGGGCCGGTACTTTTTCTGTAGTTTTAGTCCTGTTAGCCGACTCATACACTGACTGAACATAACTTAGAATTAAAGGCTTTGGTGATATACTTATTTATAAATGTATTGGGAACACAAACCTCATGACATAATTGAGATCAGTTAATCAGGGCTCGTCAATAAAACTCTATATATAAAAAATGTTCATGGAATTTGTTTTTATTTTTTGTTATGATTTTGAAACCACTTGCTGAAAAATTTGACTTGCTTAGCTGTAATACCAATAGGTAAATCAATTTACTGATGATATGCTTACATTAGATTAGGATTAGATTGATACCGCTTAAATACCTTTTACATTAAGGAAAACAATCCATCCAGCCCATATATATCCACCAATCACGGGGGGTCATGGTATTTTGTTATTTTACAACACAGGGTAAAACGAATAAAAATAAATATTTACATACCTATATACATCTACATGTATGCACCCAGAATTTAGTAATTCTGTAGGGCATTTTTTGAATCCGATCTATCGAATTTGACTACATTTGACCACCAAGGGTGATCCTGGATGTTGTGATGGAGCCAAATCTCTGGATAATGTACCCCATACTGAGTAGCAACCTCCACATGATTTAATGTTGGACATGGTCTTAAGCCTTCTCTAAATCTACAAAACACAAAACAAGTAGAATTGACACAACGCCAATGCCTTTCCCACTTCCTTAAAAATTAGTGACTTGTGTAACTGGAATACCAATAGGTAAAATAATATGCAGATGATGTGCTTTTTAAATTAGACTTAAACTTATACCTTCAATTATTTTGTGTTTGCAGGCTGTCAGGCTGTCTGATCACAGAGGAAGGTTGTGCTTTTCTGGCATCAGCTCTGAGCTCCAACCCCTCCCGTTTGAGAGAGCTGGACCTGACCTACAATCATTCAGGAGTCTCAGGAGGGAAACTGCTGTGTGCTGAACTTACACACTGCAGACTGGAAAATCTCAAGTATGAAGAGACACTATCAATAACTGTATAGACAATTACTGAGCATGACAACTTGGTTTTCCGACTTCCAATAACACCCACCCCTGTCTCTCTCTTTCAGCGTGGAGCCTGATGGGGTCCAGTGGTTGAAACCAGGATTGAGGAAGTGTAAGTGTGTTTTGGTTTGATTAAGGAAAACAAAACCTATAAAGTTGGATTTTCAAAAGCAGATAGCATTTAACACATTTTGTATGGGTCCAAATGTGAGAGGGGCAAGGCAGCATAGATCCCAGTACAAGCGATAGCCATACTGCTGCCTTTACTATTAACATTATGTAAGTGAAATTAATCAGGGTGGTAAAGTCGACCAAACTGCTTAAGACGCAAAAAATGACACATGTCAACCAGCAGGTGCCGCTGTAATTAAGGTAAATGTGTTTTACCTTAATTATGCTCATAACTCCCATGTAGTATGTCGCACAATCAAAAACCTTAGATTCATGCATTCTAAGAATTGAGCTATATATATAGGCTATGCCCATTTTTGTCTGTTATTATTTTTCTGCAAAATGTTTGAAACCCACTTTTTTGAACTCTTCCTTGGTGGTGATGTATTTAGAAAATTGTAGTAGAACAAACACTGCATACAGTTTGCTGCTGATTCCCCCTTTAATACCAGACACACATTGGGGCCTCAGGAAAGAGGACTATTAACACCATCCCTGCCAGGTTCTGCAAAAGATTCTTCCCCTGAGCTGTCAGACTTTTAAATACACCCACCACACACACTCACCTGGACTTATCCCCATACTCTGCTGCTTCCCCACTACACACAGACTTGTTTATTGATCTTGCACTACTGTACGTATCTCAAACTACGCAAACGTTGTCCATTCAATATAAATGTTTACATACTTTTATTACTCCATCAACTGTCCAGCTTTTGAGACGGTGGCATAACGTTCTTCCAATTAAGGAGTATCAGACGTCTAGCAAATAACATAGAAAATGCTATAGCCTATAGAAAATGTAATCCCCCTTGGACTACACCAAACAATGCAATCACCGCCAAACCTGACTAAGGAATGTTAAACTCCTTCTTTTCCTGTTCAAACTAAATAAAGTGCCCTTCCATAAAATGGTCCGTCACACACTTGATCCCTCTCATATGCTATAGCTGAAAAGATGGTTCTATGAGAGCAGTAGCAAAGTAGACGTTTGCCAGAGTTGTGAAAGTAACAAAAAGTTGTTTGCGTTTAAAATGGGTTCTAAACTGATCAATCAGGGATGTTCGTGCAGTAGCGTTTATTTTGGGGTAGTGGGGCACAGATTAGAGTGAAGGCACACCGGGTTACATGACTGCTGTACTGTGATACACCAACCTGGACATTCATCATCCAATTTTTATTCCAAATAAAGGTAGTTGTGCATTTATTGTGAATTTATTTAACTCCTTAAAACAAGATTAAAGAATAAAGACGGGGATTGCTTGGAATAAAAATTTAAATCTAAGCGTTATAGTATTGTTTCTTTTTTTTTTACAGAATTGATCCTTCCAGCGAGTGACAAGGGGGGAGGGTCAACCATCTCTCCATATCCTGCTTGGTGTTATTGCGTGCCGTTTAAAAATTAGTGTCGAACAGATCCCCCCCGTACTTGTCAGTGACACAAACACCCAAATAAGTAAAGCCATCCTTACTAACAGAAAAATGGAAGCTCTGGAAGGACATTTGGTGTGCTTTATCGTGTTTGGGGAATAGAACACTTTTGGTTAAATTCAACTTAAATCCTGACCCCCGCCCGAACAGATATAAGATCAAGAGCAACTGAAGTACATGGATCCAAAAGAAGGGAGAAGATAATTCGCATAGAACGATAATTTGTGTACATGTGTGTGCTTTATCGCAGTATTGTGATAAAAATTATTTTAATTATTAAAATAATTTTGATCATCGAAAGAATACATAAATTATAAAGACACTGTTTCCTTTGGGTTATGGTTAAAACAGGAAATCATATCTCTGATTAACACAAAACCTGAGCCACTACATGAAAACTTAAAATAGCTTTTAAATAGACAAGGGTGGCCTTAAATGGGACACACACAGCAGACAACAAAAATTCTACATGTCATAATCAAGATAAAAGCGTTTCATAAGGTGTCGCACATTCAAATGCCGTATATATATTCGCCTTGTGTTCCCTGAATTTGGCTGCAACTTGTAATATAGGCCACGGCACCTTTTTGATTTTCGCCAATAATTGTTTTCGCCAAATCGCAAAATGTCTGAAACCTACATTTTCAAACTGCTCCTAGGCGGTGTGTCCAATCGGTACTAAACTTTGCAACATATCTCCACATAGCCCAGTCCAGTTAACACGAAATTAGGCCCAATCCTTTCCCATGCCCCCCTAGGGCCGTGTCCAAATTCAAGAAATGTGCTAAGATTATTTTTCCAAACTAGTCTTTTGAATTAAATGCTTTCCAAAATCTGCTGCTCTCAACCTGCGTCTTTTATCGTGCCAGTGGGACTGCAGGTCCGACTTGCATCCCCTGGGCCGCCAGGGCGCAGCTTGCCCCAGGGGCTTAGGCCATGTTGAGATCTGCTCGCAGGTCTGGTTAGTCAGTTTTCACTTGACTTTTGGGATGATTTTCACAATAACAATCCAACCTTTCTATGTTGTTCTCTCCATCAGATTTCTGTGAACTCTCACTGGACCCAAACACAGCACACAAATTCCTCAAACTGTCTGAAAACAACAAAAAGGTGACCGATCTGAGAAAGGAGCACCCGTATCCTGACCACCCGGAGAGATTTGACTACTGGCCTCAGGTGCTGTGTGAAAGCGCTCTGACTGGTCGCTGTTACTGGGAGGTGGAGTGGGTAGGAAAGGTTTATATCGCAGTGAGTTACAGAGGAATAGGACGGAGTGGAGACCGCGATGGCTCCAAGTTTGGAGGGAATGATCAGTCCTGGTGTCTGAGCTGCACTGATGGAGGATACAACGCCTGGCACAATAACAGTGGGACACTCATCCCCTCCTCCTCGGTCTCTAACAGAGTAGCAGTGTATCTGGACTATGCTGCTGGCTCTCTGTCCTTCTACAGAGTCTCCTGTGACACTCTGATCCACCTCCACACCTTCAGCACCACATTCACTGAACCTCTTTATCCTGGCTTTGGCTATGGAGTGAAGTTTAACTCCTCTGCCTTTCTGTGCCAGCTGTAGAGCATTAGCATGGGCAGAATCAATACTGTGGTTCCAGACTGTTCAGCTGATGGAGGTCCGACCGGGTCTGTTCCAGTCTTGGTAAGCTTGTGACATGTAAAGAGTCTAATCTGAAGTCTTCAGGTCCAGTCGTTCTCGCTGGTCGTCTGCCTCCAGAGCTGTCTTACCTGCACAGAAATGATATCTTAAGTTTATTATTATTATTATTTAAAGGCTCAGTTAGTGTTCATGTTTGTTTAAAATAGCTGCAGGAGGGGCCTCCGAGGCCTGTAAACCGTGTCCTCTCTGGACGACCTGGAGAACAAATTGTGTAGTCAGAAATCTTCATCTTGCTATCAACGAAATGTGCAATAAATCCTAACAGTCGTTTTGAACATTAATGTACATTTTAATTTGGGAGGGTTTTGCTTGTACACATGTAAGTTGCATTTAGATCTCTTAAAACTTTTACCTGTAAAATAAGTTTATGTAATACCGACACTGTTCTGATGTAATACCGACACTGTTCTGATGAATGTACACCAGAGGGGACGGCAGTCAGTAGCAGAGTAAATTATCATTATAAGATTACTGTTGTTATTTAATGTTTGGACAAGCATTTGGTAACCTGTCTGCAGCAGGTCTGCAGTTTATGTATTTATGTGTTTTTTTATTACTTACTATGTATTTATTGTGAACTCCTTCAACACTTACTGTGTATTTATCATGTATCTTACTAAGTACTTTGCAAATGTTATGTATTTATTTATTATTTATTACGTACTGTTTCATGTAGCTCCTGTGGTCATTTTATCTTATTTTCTTTGTGTTTGTTTTTGTTCTGTAAATATTAATGTTTCTGTAAAGCAGTGGCTGTCTGTGAAGAGCACCGTACAAATAAAGTTTACTCACTCAAACTTTCAACGTGCTTTAAATGAACTATGTTGAGCGACACTGGTGAAAACAAGCGTTTCAGAAAGCACCACCTTCTCCATCAGGACAGGTTTAGAAATGATATTCATATTATATGAATATTAGTGAAGTATTGGTCTGTGTTTTGTTGATTAGTCAGTAGCAGCAGAGACGGTTCGCAGCCAATCAGGACTCAGTTGGTCCACCTGCTCACCTTGGACCGTCTCTGCCACGACACTGCTGATGACGTCATCGCGTAAAGCCAACGCAGGGGATGTCGTCATGTGGCTGTTGTCCTGCTGAGTCTTTGGAGAAAATCCTTCCCTGCTCGGACAGAAGCGTGTTTTTAGAAATGTGTTTTTACTTTTCACTAACAGGGCGGCACATCCTCGCGACCACATGAGCCGGCAGGAGAGTTTCCGAACATTTAACAACAAGAAGAAGAAGAAGAAGTCGGAGAGCGGCTGCCTTAGCTCACTGGCTAGCCGGCTAGCTTGCGAGTTAGCAGCGTAGCTGCAGCAGCTGCTGTTAGGTTCGTAACTGTCAAACGTTAAAGCCGAGAGCTGCTTTAGCTTCCTGTTAATAACACCACAACGAACTCATTTACACCAGTACCGAACAGAAAGGCTGTGTAACTCTGTGCTTTGTCTGAGGTTAAAGGCATCTGAGCTAAAAATGTAAACAACGCACCTTCGGCAGGTGCTGCTGCTAAGAATTAACGCTATTTAATGTTTGAGTACTTAAATTAAAACTTACATGCCCGGTACAATAGAAGTACATATTTTAAATTAGTCCGTAGGGTTTGCTGGTAAATTCGGCGCACAAACAATCCAAGAAATGTGACTTACACAGCAGAAATATCATCTTTTATAGTTGGTCCGCACGCTCAGCTAGCTAACCCCCCCGAAGCTTAGCTAACGTAACATATTTCAGCATAATTTTCTTATAATATAAGGACTTATACTTTTAAAACAATTTAACATAAAGTGCTTTTTTGTGTGTATTTCAGTCTGACCCTAAATATCCAAAAATACTATTAGTTCTGGAAGTACAGAGGTTTTATTAGGTGGAGTGACACTGCGTTTAAAAACCTCATGTTTTTGAATGTAGTTTGGTGTGTGTACTTTTTCATGACATCTGCCAGCAGCAGCAGTAGTTTTATACATTTCGGGGTAAAAGTCTGGCTGGTGTAAAACCTTGAATGAATATATAATGATTGAATGGTCTCGGGTTAAATTCCTGAGCTGGACAAGCCTTTGAGCAAAGCATTTAAACTGTTTACTGGTCAAAACTGTTCACAAAATGGCTGATTAAAAATGACGTGTCAGCCTTATTTTGAGGACATTTTTTCATCTTGGTGTGCGCGTGAAGACAACAGTATTATTCAAATAATCAAATACTACTTTCAGATCAATTTTCTGAGGGAACCAAGCACAAAAAACAGATTTGTTATGTTTCTTTTCTTAAATCCTTAAGTTTTGTTATGGAGTTCGGCTGTAGCACTCAGTAAATCTCAGTAATTGTTTGGTCTACTGGTTGAGGGTGGTAATTGGTTTTGGGGTCAAATATTGACCTCACTTCTTGTTCTATAACAAATTGTTCTTTTTAGTCTATTTATCCGACGCAGTTTTAAGACTTTGTCGACATTTGCTTCTGCAAATTTAATTTGTTTAGTTGCCTTTAAATTGGCTGTTGAAGATTATTTTAATATTTAGATAATGTTGAATATGAAGCTGCTTTTATTTGGCTCAAACAGGCAGTTTATAATTTTATTTCATGAGATCTATCTTGTATTTTGTATTTATCTTGGTTTTTTTGTATTATTCTTTACACTTGTTAAAGCACTTTGTAAATTGTTTTTGAAAAGTGCTCTACAAATAAGGATTATTATTATTATTATTATTATTATTATTATATCTAACAACTGCATATAATCTGCATATATCTGGTTTGTTTATTTTGTGTGTTCTGTGTCGGCAGCATGGCGTCTCCGTTCAAAATCCCCAAGAAGAAACAGCCAGCGGGTTCTGACTCCTCCCACCTGCACTCGCAGTCGCCGCTGTCCCGCCTCCAGAGCCCCGCCCCAGAATTTAAGGTGGTATTATTCATCTGTTAACGTTTGCTAAAGTGGTCTATTGTTTAAGCTGTCAACCGATCTTAAGGTAGTATATCTCAACTGTCGGGTCCTTTTTAAGATGGAATTACTCATCAGCCAGACACGCTGAAGGTGTTATAATTAATTTATTGAAGGTGGTATGTTACCTGTTGTGTATTAGGGTGGTAAATCTGACCAGCCAGTTTTTTAAGGTGGCACAATTAATGGACTGGTTCTGTGATTGTGTTACGTATGATGTGCTGGAAACTTTAAGGTGGTATATTCAAACTGAGCTCCTTTAAAGACAACAAATTAGCTTTAATGGTGCTTTTAAGGTGGGATAAAGATGGTATATATGATCACCTCACTCTGTTAAGGTAGTATTGTTTGTGATCTATCTGTTGGTTACTGTGTATACTAATTGATTTAAGGTGGTATATCTGTATTTAATGGCAGTTTAATTCAGGTTTTTAAACATGGTATACCTAACCCTTTTGCTGGTCTGATGGCTCTTTTAAGGTGGTATGATGTAGCAAGAACCAGCCGATCTGATCTGCCATTTCTTTAATTGACTTTTCTGTCATTAGTGATCAGATCTAAGTGGCAGGATTTAAGGTGGCTTTTAAATAGAGGAGAAATATTTACTTGGATCAGGTCTGATCGGTTAGTCTCGTCAGTGTTTGACCTTCAGTCTGGTCCGTCTGCTTTCGTCTGAACAGGGTTATGGGCATCAGTCCAGTAGAGGCGGGGCTGACAGGATGCATGCTGGGAACGCGCTGGGCTCCTCAACGAGCAGACAGAGGTTTGTGGAGCGGCCCCTGCAGGCTGCAGAGTTCGTTACAGCAGATGAAACGCAGTGAAAATGTAACCTGGTGGTTTTATTTCCTCAGCGTGCCGTGTACACCTGTTTTCAGGGACTACGTCAAATCGCTGCTGGGACTCAACAGCCCGAACAGAGGAGCGCCAACAGCCAATCGCAGAGCACCGGGAAGCTGCGGCCGCCAATCACAGCCCGGACAGAGAGCCCAGTCGTCGTCGGGCTGCGTCTCAAACGGGTGAGTTCACAATGGCCGGACGCTGGTTCGGAAACACAAGGAAACACAAATCATTTCCTTTCCATCATTTCTCCTGGAAAAAGATCAGCTGCTCCTCCAGTTTCTGTTTGCTGCTCCTTGAAATTCATGTTCATGTCAGAAACCTGCATTAAATCTCAGCGTCTCTCTCGTCCGACGCTTTTTAAAGAGTTGTCAGATGTAACTCCCAAAACTTTATGAATCCGCCCCAAAATGGCACGGAGACGAGAAGGAAAAGGACTGTAAAGTAAAAGTTTTCACTCCCAGCTGGTGAAAAGAATCCGTTAAAAGTCTCTCAACATTAAAACTAAAGCACAAGTTTTGACCCCCAGTTGTTTTCACCAAACTGCCGTTGTGTGTTTTATCCACCAGATGGCGTCCTAAGAGAGCGTCAGACCGCCTGCTGCCGCCTGACGAGGCCTCAGAGCCCCTGACTCCACCACAGAAGAAGAAAAGTGACCTCAGAGGTAAAATGAGTGACTGCTGCCCCACGGCGCTCTGGAGGAGAGAGGTCAGCTAATGTTAGTTAAATTAAGAACGAGCACAGAGCAGTTTAACCCTCAGTCACTTCACAGGCTTCAGATCAGATTGGTGGACGTTTGGGCGTGAGAGCTAATGGCAACACGTGACTGACTGAATCAGAAGGGACGTTATGTCTCTATGTATGAAAGCTCATTCCCTTTCACCTTCCAGGTCCGCCCCTGTCCTCTAAAAACATCTCTGTGGAGTCGCTGGACTATCTGGCAGAACTGCGAGGTGAGGAGCATGCTGGGAGTTTGAGTTCACCGACGCAGAAAAGGGGACGTGGAGGAGAGTGGACACCGACGAGGACGCCGCTGACGAGAAGGTACAGCTGGAAGAGCAGACCGGTGATTGGCGGCTTCCTCCTCCTCTGAAACACCAGCAGGAATCAAACGTTGAACCAAAATCTCTTCACTTGAATTAATTTGAGAAAATCTCAGACTGAAAGACTTTTAAACCCGTTAATATTATGAGCACAAGTTGTAGTTTTAAGAAATAAAGTCATAATACTTTAAGAATAAAGTTGTAATATTTATAAGAAGTCATAAAAACCTCAGATATAAAGTTGTAACTTCATCAGCATGTTTGAGAATAAAGTCGCAGCTTTATGAGACGATATTCTGAGGACAGTGTTAACAGGAAGTAACTCCAAAACAACATTTTAGAAATTCAGATGTTGAAAGAAAAGTGGAAGTAAATCACGTGCGATCAAGGGAAATGCAGCAGAGAATAAAATACTGTTTGAAAAGTTAAAATGTGCCTTTAATGTGATTCTTTCAGAGCGACTCAGGAAGCTCTCCTGAATCTTTAAAGCAGCAGCAGAAGTCGTCTGTCTCCGGTTCAGACCAGACGTCAGAGGACGACTTTGTGTCTCCGCCCAGAGCCGGAAACAAACCTCTCCACAAGGACGTCCGCAGACCCTGCTGTGCGCCGAGGTCGACGCCCGACACGAGGCGGGGCCTCAACAGGACGTCGTGGCTCGTCGCCAGCAACAACCTGATGGAGGATCTGAGGGAGAAGGAGCGAGAGAAGTGGAGGGCGTTCAGAGAGAAGAAGACGGCCAACAGGTCGGCCGTCCTGCAGCTCCGACTGAGGAAACCCAAAGCAGCAGAACCCAGTGAGTGACGGGAGACTAAGGTCCGGTGCGTTAAATCTGGATCCACAGAGAGACCTGACACGGTGAACCATTTCTGTCTGCATACAGCTCCTCTCACAGCGACGTCGCCACCTTTCTACGGTAGCTGAAAAGGACAACCTGCTCTACAGAGCGCGTTTCGTCACTAAGTTGAATACAGACGACAACAACAAGCAGCGGTCGACCGGTTTGTTAGAGAAGACTAACGGACAAACGTATAATTTAGCTCAGAGCCAACGGAGCGCGTCGACCACCAGGGGCGGGAACCTCAGGGCACCTCACGATACTCACAGTAACGATAATATCACGATACTGCAATTCTGCGATAATCGATGTATAGCTAGAAATATAAAATGATACATCGCGATATCTAACTACTAATACGAAAAAAAAAGTTTTCTGTTTATTTGCTGCAAATCCAAACTGTTAGAAAAGAACACGATTCTGCTCAGTGTGTTAATAAAACTACAGAGCAACTGTGAACAAATTATTAGCAAAACATTTGTTTAAAAAAGGCACAAAATGCAAATTCACTGAATTTCCTTACTGTAAATACAAACTGCTACGTCTAATCTGTACATCACATTACATTAATAACTGTTAATTATTAATAACTGACACGGGCTTGTGCCGCCTTTTCTCCGCCTACTGATGTATTTTTAGGCCAGTGGGAATATTGGGTTTGGGTTTTGACCCTTTGGGGTTGTTGTAGCTGGTCTGTGTGGAGCGCAGAAGCAGCAGATCAAGACGGTGAAGTTAGCAGCTCTTTTTTTATTTCACACAGAGCTCAGGAAACATGTACTTTAAGTATTTGCACAGTAGGTCACTCAGCACGTGAAGCAAAGCGTGTAGTTTATGTTAGGATTGTATTTGCTAATATCCGTTAGCACGTTAATGGAGATTCCCATTATATGTTAGCATGGAGCTAACCGTCGAAGCGCTATATTTTTAGTTAATGTTATGTATCGATATGATGGGCTGGAAGATCGATACAGTGTCATGGAAAAATGTACAACGATTTATTGTCATATTCCTTTCGGCCACCGTAGCTTCTCCTGCACGCCGAGCGATGGTGCGTTCACGGGGTGTCGGTATTATCACAATCTTTTTTTCTTCCTTAAATCTTTACTTCAAAAAGAGGAATAACGTGTATATGTGGCTGAATCAGACTAAATGATTTATTTAAAGACTGATTGAGTTTCTTTGTGATCCTTGTCCAGTCGTGCTGTCGAGCGAAGAGGAAGAGGAGGGTGAGGACGACGCAGACGGAGGGAAGAGGACGTTACAGAGCAGCAGCCTGCTGGACGAATCCCATCTAGGAAAGCCAGAGCGGATGCAGGTAGGAGACACACCTGAGGGCCAACACAAGGGGTCAACACAGGGATACGACCCGGGTCCATGTGTGAAGCCGCTGCAGATCCTAGTAATCAGTGCAGAGAAGGACAAACTACAGACGTGAGAGTCTGGAGACCCGGAGTTCATTTTCAGCTTCGGGTCAAAACCGCCCTGACGTCATGTCAAATTAAATCCACCTGCAGCTGCACCACAAACCCTTCATCTGGTGGACTCATGTGAACTCACAGACCAGAAACTGCACTGACACCTGCTGTTCCAAGCTGTGAATTTAATTTAGAGGAAAACCTGAACTCCACGGAGTCCCCGAAGTCCCAAAGGGGGACATTTAGTACAATTCTGAAGTGTTTGCAGAAGATATCGTTCAAAATGTCAAGATATTTATAAACCTGTGCGTGACTGAGATAATTTTGGGGCAGAAGTTCTGATCTTGTAGGTAGAAAATGATGCTCTGTGCAGACAAGATATCAACTATGTGCTTCTTCACACAGTAGGTTTGTAAATCTGATAATTACTCATCAGTAATTTCTGTGAACTGATAACTAGTCTTATCTGAAACTGGTCCCTGTGGTGCGTTTCCAGTCCACACTGAGGTCTGACCCAGTTTGGGGCTCAGGTCTCGCCGCCGTATGTTCGAGGTTGGCGTGAGTCATGTAGTTGGTTTGTGGGCTTGCAGCCCAATAAACAAGCCTCGGACCCCCGGTGGGACTCTAAGCAGATCCAGACTGGATCTGAATGGACTGTTGAGTGTTTGTTGTTGTGTTTACTGACGCTGATCCTCAAACCAGCTGCGAGTCTTAATAAACAGGTTTCTGTACTGTCGCAGTGAAACGTCAGCTGAATGTGAGCCACATCTGTTCTGCACAAACCGAGCCGATAACAAGTCCAGTTTCAAGAACCTAAAGTTTTTACAAGTTTAGAGGTTTGTAGTGGCCCAGTTTATGTAAAACTGATTATTTAGTTTGATGCTTGATGCTATTCTGACCCCTCAGTTTAATTTACTACTCAGTTAACTTTGATCATGATGTAAATAACACGTTCATCAAGTATCGCTCACATTTGTTTAGAACGGTATTTATGTGTGTTGATGCGTGGACCCCGTGTGTTGATGCGTGGACCCCGTGTGTTGATGCGTGGACCCCGTGTGTTGATGCGTGGACCCCGTGTGTTGATGGGTGGACCCCGTGTGTTGATGCGTGGACCCAGTGTGTTGATGCGTGGACCCCATGTGTTGATGCGTGGACCCAGTGTGTTGATGGGTGGACCCCGTGTGTTGATGCGTGGACCCCGTGTGTTGATGCGTGGACCCCGTGTGTTGATGCGTGGACCCAGTGTGTTGATGCGTGGACCCAGTGTGTTGATGGGTGGACCCCGTGTGTTGATGGGTGGACCCCGTGTGTTGATGCGTGGACCCCGTGTGTTGATGGGTGGACCCCGTGTGTTGATGGGTGGACCCCGTGTGTTGATGCGTGGACCCCGTGTGTTGATACGTGGACCCCGTGTGTTGATACGTGGACCCCGTGTGTTGATGCGTGGACCCCGTGTGTTGATACGTGGACCCCGTGTGTTGATACGTGGACCCCGTGTGTTGATACGTGGACCCCGTGTGTTGATACGTGGACCCCGTGTGTTGATACGTGGACCCGTGTGTTGATACGTGGACCCGTGTGTTGATGCGTGGACCCCGTGTGTTGATGCGTGGACCCCGTGTGTTGATGCGTGGACCCCGTGTGTTGATGCGTGGACCCCGTGTGTTGATGCGTGGACCCCGTGTGTTGATGCGTGGACCCCGTGTGTTGATGCGTGGACCTGTGTGTTGATGCGTGGACCTGTGTGTTGATGCGTGGACCCCGTGTGTTGATGCGTGGACCCCGTGTGTTGATGCGTGGACCTGTGTGTTGATGCGGACCCGTGTGTTGATACGGACCTGTGTGTTGTCTGACAGGGTCAGCGGGCTTGTTCTTCTAAAGGTGAAGTAGACGGGTTTAAGCCGGCGCCACCTTCCTTCCTGCAGCTGAACTTCGCCTCGCTTCATGCCGGCCTGACGCACGCTGACGCGAGCGGGGAGATGATGGTGAGTACGGCTGAAGTTCACCAGATGTACGCAGAACACGGCGCGTGTTTAAAGCTGTGAAATTCAAATGGTCACTTTTGTGAAGCTGCAGCTGGAGGACGAGTCCGGCTTTTGACTGAGAAATGAAAAGATCAATCTGATATTTGCTTCTAAGCTCCTGAGCCATCGTTCAGAAGCGTAACCGGCAGATGTTCGTAAGCAGATCTTTAAATGTTCTGCAGGGTCACAGAGCGTCCTGCTTTTCTGCCTGACTTTGACCTAGTTTCTCTTTTCCCACCTCCTGCTCAAGTGTTGTTTGTACTGTAGTTTTAACTGTTCCGATCCGAAGTGCTAAACACATTTTCTGTGTGTGTGTTCTCTTACACCGGAGTTTCAGTGTAATGAGCCAAAACAACACAGTGTTGCCATGGCTACGCCTCCAGAAAGGCCCTATCCAAGGCTTTGCGGAGGTGATGAAGCGGGAAGCGAGTCAAAGTTTGCTCTAACAGCTTGTTTCGCTTCACGGCCGCAGGGCAGAGAAACTTCCACCGAGGCTGTAAAGCGCTAAGATTCAGGTTTTAACGAGCAATTAAGACGAAGCGTGAGGGCTGACGGCGGCGCGCTGGCTTTAATTAGAGCGCCGTAAAAACTGTGAGGGCAGGAGGGGAGCAGGTTAGTAGGTCAGCATGTCAACGGACCACATACAGAGAAGACCAGTATTTTAAATCACTATTTTAATCATTTTTAACTCACTCAGGTTTCAGATCTCCTGATCTTTCTGCTGCGTTTAAGCCACGACCATTTAATGAGTGCTGACATGTGACACTAAGTCATGATTGTCCTTTTTAAATGAAGCATTTTCAGTAAATGCTTTCATAAAAACAAGAAACACTCTTTCTGTACTCGTCATTTCAGATGTGTTCAGAAGTGTCGCATGTTTTACAAGAAACAGACAAATATTAAAGAAAGAAGATTTTATGTAAGTGAAGTTTGTTTTGTCTTCCTTCCTGCTAAGTTTTAATATTTCTCTTGTTTATCTGTGTAGATCACTGAACATGGCTTCATTATTCCTCTGAAAGGTAAAACCACACACTGCAACATGTCCTCCCTCTGCTGTCAGACTAAATAAAGGAGTTTAAGGTCTAAATAATTGAGCAGTGGCATTAGATTAAAAGAAGATTAAAGAGACATTTCTCCTTTTTAAATTACAATTTTATCATCAGATTCTTTGTAAAAGTCTGTGGTGATGAAATCTGAAGAACTTTCCTTTGTTTCAGGTACGCTGTGGATTTATTTATTTGTTTCTTCTTTAGGTAACACTATAAAAACAAGCCTCTTTCTCTCTGTCAGGAGTTGAGGAGGGGCAGGTCTCTGTGGTGGCGTCCCAGATTCGGGGCTATGGCGTTTGGGACGGGGGCGTGGCTCAGGGCGGGGGTTTGTTGGCTGGTTGGAAAGGTCCCGCCCCCTCGCTGATCTTCCTGTGGGTGACCGACGCTCAGGCCACCCTGCTGCAGACGGAGCTGTCGGCCATCCGGACCTCCACCGCCGCTTCAGGTAACGCTTCGGATCCAGTAAGAGCGTCGCTTCATTCAGCGCTGACACTTTTCAGTTTTGACTTCAGCTCCTATCAGCACTTTCATTTGTCGTGATATTTGCTTTAATTTCCACGTCATCCAGCACTTACAGGCCTGGAACTCATTTCAAGTCATTTCACTGAGGCAGGAACAATTCTCCTTTCAGGTCTTCACTTCCACTGACGCTTGGAGTTCTTACTCTTCAACTGCTGTCAGCACTACACCGATACCTCGCTCTAAACTCAGTACTTAAGCAGCAGAGGTGCTGAAAGTAGAGAAATGTTTCAACTAAACTAAAACCTCAGCTTTAACTCGGCGCCGACACGCAATCTGTTGTTTTAACTGTTGTCAGGAGCAGCTCGTTGCTCCCTCTCAACACTCAGCATGTTAATACCCTGCGAATGTTTCAGCTGCCAGCAGAGAGAGTTATATTACACTTCACTGATGTGTAAACAGATAAGATGTCAGTCAGAAAGTCCTCGCGTACTTTCCATCATCACACACTTTCCATCCACGCTGTTTTTGAGAGAGCCCAAACCGCAGTGAAGAAGGTTGTGTTGTTTGGCAGAATGACCTTAGAAAGATACGCATGAAAGCAAACTGCGCCCACAGAACACAGTTCAGGCGTCTTTTTATCCCTCGTAGTGATTCCTCCTGTCACAAACCCTGCAGTCCAAAAAACAGGATGTTCTGAATGAAAGCTTGACTGGAGCTGTGAACCCGCACTTCTGCAGGAGCCAACAGCCAATCGGGTGGCTTCTCCTGCGCCAGCGGCCAATCGTAGATTTCGTGTCCTTTGGCTCTGAAATCATCCCGACGTTGAAAACACGAATCTCTGCCAAAGGTCCTGAGCGTGGCATCGAGAAGGACTCGCCATGGTCCTGGAAACTGTTTGACGAGTTCCACCTCAGAGTTCTGTGTTCTCCTGGTTCTCCAGGCCCGGTGTGCTCCTTCCTCCTGCTGGTGCTGAAGGAGCAGCTGCAGGAGCTGCAGGCCGCCCTGCTGGCCTCCATCCTGGACATGGAGGAGTACAAGAAGGCCTCCTCCTCCTCCAGTGGGCCCACCTCCCCTCTGGAGTGGACCGACGGGCTGCTGCTCCTCCACAGCTGTCCTCCTCCTCTGGACCAGCACCTCCTCGGCCTGCTGGGACACTCGGTGGTAAGACTCCTCCCTCCTCCTCTTCCCTCTTTCCTTCCCTCCTTCCCTCGTCAGGCTCTTTCTCCCTTCGCCTCCTCTGCTTCCTTCGCTTGTTTTGTGTTTCTGTTGTCCTCCCCCTGCCCTTCCTAGTCTCCCTCCTCCTCTCGCTCCTCTCCCTCCCGCAGTGATATCCCATCCCCTCTCGTCCTTTTAATGAGCCTGTTAGCCGTTAGCTGGTGGCGACGGCGGCGGCGGCGGCTCGGAGCTGATGAGGTGACTCCTGGAGGAGGTTCAGTTTGTGTTGGTCACACAAAGTTCAATTTCCTTTTCTGAGCTCACACGTCTCTTTCAGGAGAAATCCAGTCCCGTGAGAAAGTCCAACCTCAGATCCTCTGCTCTGCAGCAGCTTCCCACCAGGTAACCCAGCAGAACCAGGACCCGCCTAGACCCGTGAATAATAAGAATGTTTACTGGAGGTCTGGTGCTAAAATGTTTCCTGGTCTGTATGTGGGCTTCAGGTTGATCCAGTACCCGGCGGCGCCCTGTAAAGGTCGGATCACGGTGACGAAGGAGGACCTGGCCTGCCTGGCCAGCGGCGAGTTCCTCAACGACGTCATCATCGACTTCTACCTCAAGTCAGTCTGTCGGAGATTATTTTCACGGCAGTGTGGTTTGTCACATGATTCGAGGTTTTCTCAGCATGTGGATTTAATTTTAGCAAAGTTTGAATGTGATAAATCTAAAAGAGATTTTTAAGTCACGTGAGTGCCGTCCTGAAGATCTGTGCAGTGCAGGTCGGTGTAGTTCCTGTAGTCACCAGTAGGGGGTCAGGGTCCTGACAGGTCTCCTCCTCCTGCAGGTATCTCCTCCTGGAGGGAGTCGGGGGCTCGGCGGCCGAGCGGAGTCACGTCTTCAGCAGCTTCTTCTACAAACAGCTGAGCAGACGGAGAGCGGCCGGAGAGGACGCCGCCCCCTCCGTCCCGTAAGAAGAAAGATAACGATTTGAACTCACTGATTCATCTTTAAGATGTCGGCCAGTTGAGACGGGTCGTTGTTTTGGTCGACCAGCAGTCAAAAGCCAAAGAGATTCAGTCCATAAAAGACGAAGAAAACCAGCAAAGCTTTGCTTAAAAATATACTAAAACAATTCATTGATTACTTGTTGCAGCGCTACTACCTGAACAGGTTTTTATGAACCTGAATAAAAAGACTGCAGGTAACGTTAGTCCTGAATAAGATGATGTTTACCAGCTGGTTCCTCCGGATATTGACTCATAATTCATACAGAAAAAACAACCTTGTTTAACGCAGTGGGATCAACTGAAATTCGCTCTTTGGCTCAAAGAAAACTTATTAAAATAGATGATGTTAGTAAAACTCAGTCTCTGCTTGTTTCCAGCGATCGTCACATGAGGCATCAGAGGGTAAAGACGTGGACCCGCCATGTCGACATTTTCACCAAAGACTTCCTGTTTGTGCCTGTCAATCAAGAGTAAGAAAACTAACACTGACTGACTTTAGTTTGTAGGTGATTCAGCTCTGAAGTTGTTATTGGAGGTCAGCAGCGAGTATTTACCCTCTCTGACCGACCAAAAGTAAAGACTCCTGACCCAGATTTAAAGACGCCACTTTGGACTGTTGACCTCTGTTGGGACAGCTGAATAAAAACTCTGTAGTTCTACTTTAATGCAGGCACCTCATCACGGCCTCTACCTGCCAACTGGGTAACAGACCGACTGACTCGATGGCTTTAGCAGAGCTACTGCTCTCTGCACTTTTCCTGTTGTTTTAGAAACTGACCAGATCAGCAGAACCCACAGAAAATAGAAAATCTTTAATGACTGAATTTGCCGCAGCTTTTCTGTTTGTCCTCTTAGTAAAATAGAAATTGGGGTTTTGTATTGGCATTGAACATTCTTTTATTATTTAACTCGTGCCCGGTAACCAGCCAGTGGCGTCAGATCGGATCCGTCCAGTTTCTGTTTTGTAGATTGTCCTTAACAGAAAAACTGCAGCTTCAGTGGTTTGTTCAGATTTAAATTCACCTGAAAGAGATTTAAAGTACTCATTTAGATTATGAACAGGAGGAAGCAGCGTGACGTCTACACTTTTATAATCCCTCGCTGACTGTTCTTTGCTTTTTTGCCCCCAAAGTGTAGCAGAATGAGTGAGTCGGTGTTTGTGTTCGTTGTGTCCGTAGTGCTCACTGGTACCTGGTCGTGGTTTGTTTCCCGGGTCTGGAGGAGGTTCAGCACGAGGAGTTTCAGCGCCCGACAGGTGAGCTGTTTATTTTCTGACCTGATTTTCCTCCGCAGCACAATGTGTTTCTGGTGAGCCTCAGTAATGTTTACCAGAGCAGCTCTAATCGTCACCAGGCGTGTTTGTTTCTCGTCCTTCAGGGAGACACTTTGGGGTATTGGAGCAGCAGTTTGTTGGAATTCCACATCAGTTCACACCAAAAATTAAAGGATTAAATGTTCCAGACAGAAATACTGACTCCTCTGAAGGCGCTAAGCTCCAGGACTTGATGTTCGAGACGTCATATTTTAACTTCATTGTCTATAAATAAGCTTAAAAAGAAAAACATTTGGTTGATAATCCATCTAAAGCTCCGACATCGTCATTACTGAAGTCATTTTCTTTTACAACATCTATGTTGGGAGTGTAGAATTATTTCCATTTTACCCATTTTTCCTTCAGATTGGTGCTTTCTCTGAAGACATCCAGCCACGGTGTCTGTATAGATCTGTTAGCACCTCCTTATGAAATCGATTAGTCTGGTTCCAGCGAGGCACTGCGGGGCTCTTATGCATCTGCCAGCATTAAAAAATTAAGAGTCCCTTTTGCCTCCCAACCAGAATTGTTTTTTATTTTATTTTTCTAGTTATCAAATTATTCAGTTTTGACAAGAAACTAAAAATATATTATGATGCTTTATTATAGTTACTGAAAATCATGTATTTTGTTAGAACAGAAACATTTGTAGTTGGAAAGAACTCACGAGAAATCCAATAATATTTTGTAATATATGGATCTTTAATTTTCTCCTCACCATGGCACCTATCAGTGGGATATGTCAGGCAGCAGGTGAACATTGTGTCCTCATAGTTGATGTTAAAAGCAGGAAAAATGGGCAATCGTTAAGATTTGAGTGACTTTGACAAAGGGCCAAACTGTGATGGCTAGACAACTGGGTCAGAACATTTCTACACCGGTCTGCAGGGGTCAGTAGCTATCAGAAGAAAAGTTGTGAACCGGCGATAGGCTCATGGACGGCCAAGAGTCATTGATGCATGTGGGGAGCGAAGGCTGGCCCGTGTGGTCGGATCCAACAGACGAGCAGACCCGAACACAATGGAGTCTGTGCATCAACGGGGCAGATCTGTTTTGGTGGCAAAAGGGAGACCAGCAGCAATGTTTTGGCTGATCGGTGTATGGGTTGAGTTGTAAAACAGTGTCAGTAGGTGGCGCTGTGACACAGTAAATGGTTTTAAATGTGAACAGGAGCTCTCAGTTCCCTTTTTTGTTTGGATGGACTCTAAAAACCACAATACCCATAAACCTTGGCAACAGTATGTGTGGAGAGGAAGAAGCCCGTGAGAGGCAACTAATTTTGTGTCAATGTGGGATTATGTGAAAATATTTATTAACAATATGGCCTCTTGAATCTGTTGCATTTACCATTTTATGGAACATGCTAAAAGATGTTTCTTTATCTTCGAATCTTCTCAGCAGCAGTTAGTTGTGATTCAGTGAAGCTGCTCATCATCGTCGCCACGTGTTGCTGTGGTTTCTTCAGAGGAAAAAGGCAGAGATGTCAGGTTCAACATTTGCAGCTGATGATGATGTTTTGTTGTTTTGTCTCAGGTGGATCAGAGCGAGCTGCAGGAAATCCATCCATCAGTCTGAGACCACAGCAGCCGCCGGTAAATATACAGCAGCTCAGCTCAGCAGGTGGTGTTTGCCTGTTTCTGTAGAACATCAACATCAGGTGTTTGTGTTTTACAGGAGTGCACTCAGCAGGGCTGGCAGAGGGACACTGTGTTAAAGAGGTGAGTCGTCAGCAAAGAAACGGATCCAGGGACACATCTGAGGTCAGGTGTAGGTTTTTTTTTTTTTTTAACGGTGTGTTCTTCGTCCTTTCCAGGCCGTGTATACTCGTCATGGACTCGCTGAAGCTGTCGTACCACGAGAATGTCGTCTGCAGACTCGTCAGAGAGTGAGTTTCAGTTCAAACGTTTACTGTTTCCAGCAGAAGAAACTGTCTGGATGACGTCTGTAGTTAAATGTTCTGAAAGCTCGGAGTTCATACATTTGGAAGTAATGCTTAACTTACAGTTAGCTACATGTTGACATGTTAACAAAAGTATTTTAAGTTGGCACCTTGGAAAGATTGACAAAATCGTCCCAACTCAAGGTCCACTTGCTAATTATTTCCAGGGCTTTCAACCGCATCACATAGTCTTAATCATCAGTGACTTCGTTACCCCGTAGTTCTACGCGTTGCTCTGTGATTTGGTTCACATAACGTTCACGTGAGAATGTCTCTGCTGGCTGCAACAGCTAAGAAGTGATGTTTGCATTTAACCCCCAGCGTTTACTTTGCTGTTACTAAATCACAGAGTAATGAGGAGAGTTAATGTCAGCAACAGGTTGCAATGTCGCCCCCAGCAGGTTCAAAGCAGCGCAGCAGGTGACAGCAATGTAAAAACACCAACAGAGGGGACCTAACCCGACTTTCTACTTCGTGATGCATTATTCCTTAGCATAAAGCTGTAACTGAAGTTGCTTCTGCCTCTGACGCCTCCTATTGTTTTCAGCTACCTGCAGGTGGAGTGGGAGGTGCGGAGAGGGACGCCACGCCTCTTCACGTCAGACAGCATGAGGAGCTTCAGCTGCAAAGTTCCTCAGCAGGACAACAGCAGCGACTGCGGCCTGTACCTGCTGCAGTACGCCGAGAGCTTCCTGCAGGTACGCCAACACCTGATACTTTGCAATACTGCTGAGTCTGGGAGGCGTCGCTGCTCTACCCAATCACAGTCAACAATACTGTGAGAACCTTTCCAGCTTTCATGGCTGCAAAAGTTCTCTTATATTTAGGGCTTTCATTAGCAATTTCGTCTTTATTTGAATATTTTCAAAACTCTTGTAATTTAGCAAATGTTTCAGCCGATCCCAAGAACCCTTTAACCACCCAGTCTTAGAGATATTGAGAATAAATGTTGGTACAGTTTAAGTCTGAGAGTGAGAAACCTGCCGACAGCGTTGACTAATGGGGGGGCAGCGGGACATGTCGCATTTTAATGGGTACTGTGACCCTGTTTAAATCCTGGATTTATGAGTAAATTGGGCCGGCCTTCACACTAACTCAAGCTCTCTGATTGGCTCCTCAGAACCCCGTGGTGCACTTCGACCCTCCCGTTACGGTTGGACAGCTGGTTTCCGCGGCAGCGAGTGCGACAGAAGCGCGAGGAGATCCGCAGTCTGATAATGAGGATGCACCAGAGCAACGACAGCTGAAACCCAGGGACCAAAAAACACGGCACACTGAGCCGTTAATTGACCTGTGCAATAAATAATTTATATTTTTTCTACGTTGTTAATGATTTTACTTGGCTGTCAAAGAATTTAAAATGTTATAATAAAATTTCTTACAAAAAAATGTAATGGTTTAGTTTTTGTTCTTCCGATTCTCAGAGCAAACCCAACAGACGGGAAAGAAACGTATGAAAACTCCATGTCCATGTTCCTGAAAACGGCTTGTTGGTGGCGCCGGCCCAGAAATGTGGAGTTTAAGGTAAATAAAGTGGTTTGTGTGATGGAGCATCTGGATGTAGTTCCCTCTCACTGAGCAGGCCGGGTAAAGAAAGGAAGAGGACGCCGATAAAAGCAGCTGCAG